TGTGATTTAGAACAAAAATTTATTCATGCCTTTCATCTATGGGTGGGTATTTCGCCGAAACAGTAAATTTTCTGTGTCCAGGCAGGCGAACACATGTTTTTTTATATTTATATGTATAAAACTATTTTTATGGGAAAGTTAATCAAAAGTTTTATTTGTTTTTGCTATTACAATAGCAGAAACTACAAATAATACCGTAGAAAAACTTAATCAAAAGTCGATTTTCTAATTTCCTTGTTATGTCCATTACTGTTGTTTGCCAAAATGAAGGCACATTATGATAAATTGAAGCGTAATTTCATTCCAATAGCACTCTCTTTGTATTTGAGAAACGTTTGGCTATCGGAAAATAAAAACTTTAACTTAAAGGAAGGAAATAAAGTGAAGTTAAGTTCTTGTCCGAGTCAAAAGTATAATTTCCCTGGGTCTTCTTTTCGACCATTGTAGTAACGAAACGAAAGAACTTAGAATGTAATGCACTGCATCGTTACACTCGGTCNAACAACTTGTTTTTAACTCTTAACTCAATCTACTGAATTTATCTTTCTTAGTTGTGTAAAAAGGTCGTAATGATACAATATTCATTGGTATGTTTGCTTGCGAAGGTACACAGAAATGGGTCGAACAAAAAAAAAGCAAACCACAGAAGAAAACTTAGAGAAAAAAATATTTATAATAATTTCCTTGGCTACCAAAAATTCATGACCTTATAACTTTGTTTCTAAAACGAATTATGACACCCCTTTTAGATATATTAGCTTAGGTTTTGCTACTTAATACAATGGGAAACTAAAAATAGTTAAAAACAAAAATATATTTCGTACCAAGGAAATTAGGCAAAATTGACCATTTTTGGCGAAATACCCGGGTACTATTTTCGTTAAATTAATAAAGTAGTAGAATCTGATCTGAATCTTTGCAATCTTCCAGATTCATAAGAGGCCAGTACAGCAAGCTGCCTAGAATCCAGAGCATCACAGGGCTGATGCTGTTCTCCCTGATCACTCCAGTGGCTCTGCTCTCACTGTTCCCCCACCAAGAGGCGCGTTTCATCATTCCGGTCCTCGTGCCCTTGGTGTATCTCTTCGGGAACCACCTACACGTCAACGAGAGCGACGGACCGCAACGCAAAAAACTGAAGAATTTTCTGCGCTACAGCTGGTATACCTTTAACATAATACTTACAGTTTTCTTCGGATTCGTTCACCAGGGAGGGTTATACCCCTTTACCAACAATCTTCATCGCGAAATAAAACGCACATACGGAACTCACACGCATGTTATCACAACTCACAGCTACAGTATACCGACGTTTCTACTTCAACTGGAAAGTACTACAAAAGTTTTTAAGGACAAAACAACTGGACATAAGTACAGACTTGCTCCAACAACATTTTTATACAAATATGGCTCGATGCCGATGGATGAGCTTTTTACAAAAATAGACGAAGTTTTAACAGAAGCAGAGATGATGCTACATAAATATAAGAAAAAATATAGGTTTTACGTGGTTTCTCCTTGTGCACTGGAGAGACGAATACTAGAGACTGCCAGTAATTACTACTACATTGACATCGCGGAAGAATTTTCGCACTACCCACATTTTTGCACCGAGGCGCTACCCGCTTTTCCCAGTAATCGGGATCAATTTTGTTTAGAAAATTTGATGCGTAAAAATGTGTCTCATGTTTTAGATCTGACTATGTACGAGAGATTTGCTTGTTATTTGAAAAAGTTTTGCCTTAAAGTTTATAGAGTTAGCCCAGCGAAAAACCACCCTTAGCGAATAGGATAGAAGTTTACTTTTGTCAATTTTACTAAATATTTCGATAAGCAATACTACATAGCATATTATTATTTTAAACATGTGTATACAATATACGTAAAAATTTAAAATTAATATTACAGTACAAAGCTAGGATGAAAAGATAATACATATTAATGAACCTCGGCCGTAATCACTATTATACCATACAATTAATTAGTTTACTACGTATGGTGTAGGTATGATAAATATGCTATAAATCTTGCTGCTTATCTTTTGGTGACAAATAAATCATAGGCACCTACTAACGTAACGTGTTTAGTGTGTAGCTTGTCTAAAATTACCATTTTGTTTGAAATGTTGTATAGTTACTCATTTAATTTTATATTTTGATTGCTCAATAATGTCGTTATTTATAGATCTGTATGTTATAATATTTATAGTATCGGTCAAAGACGTTTTTTATTTTAACAGCGCTCGCGCATGAGCGACTTTTGTCACCGTGGCAGAATGTCTCTTAAATTACATGCTCTCTGTGACGTCTCTCTTTTTCTCTTTAGGAAGGTGTAAAAGAAACAAATATACTTGTACTATCACGGATAATAATGCTACGGCGACAAAGTTACCCGTGCGCGGGTGCCTTTAACTGTTTTATTTTAAGGTATCATCTACCGTCCAATGCCTTTAAAAGACATCACAAAATGTTTTATTTATTCTTTGTACCAGTGTTTATTGTGTTATATTATAGATTAAGTTGATATTATTCTTATTTGTTAAGTTGTGAGCTTTATTGGCAGCTTTAATTTTTGAGATATAATAATTACGTCACAATTATCACTTAAACCAGTGTTTTTAAAATATCTGTATTTTAAGCATTTTCCAAACAGAGCAACGTTCTACCACTGTAGTCTTGTACTGTGTTTGTAGCTAACTCAAACTACAAAACAGAAGGTAGGCATTATTTCTTGATTTAATTTAACAAAACTTGTTTTAATAGTAATCAAATCGTTTAGATTGCAGCAGGTCATAATCATGATGATTGGTTGTGTATTATGTAAAATTAATATGATACTCCCAGTTGAGAAGAGTTAACTTGTAAATAAATATTTCACCAAATCATTACTATAAAACAGGACTCGTTGCTAACGCTTATCGACTCAATGAGCTTGCATAATTATAAACAAAATGTCATTAATTATTAAATGCATTTTTATCATAACTGTGTTTTATTAGATAAGTTATTTTTTACTATTAATAGGCTTTTAATTTTTGTAACGTGTCTAAGGCGCGCAGGTGCATTCAGATGCGAGCTTTCAGAAAGTTGATTTTCTTCCTTCTCCAAAGAAAGCGTGGTTTTACGTCCTTTCTATTTTGAATTAACGATGGTTATATCGGTATTTTATTATGTATTCTGTGCCTTAGACTTGACAGACGTTCAAATAGCCTCATAGCCTGACAGTGTGTTGACATTGACTTGACACTTGACAGAAAGAATGATAAAAAGTAGTTTCCTACAGGGCATNAGTTTGATCGTAGTATGGAAGTTTCCGTACCCAGAGCCCCGATTACGGTAATTTTTAACGTCAACAATCCAGACACGCTTCTCGATTCTGCGATACGATTGGTCGTTCAACAGCGTACGTCAGCTGTTTTGACCAATCGTATTGCAGAATCAGGAACGCGTCTGGATTGTAGACGTTAAAAGTTACCGTAATCGGGGCTCTGGTTTCCTATCAGTGTTGTTCTTGATACGGCAATTGCCGTAATATACGGCATTCAGGCATCTTAGGCACCATAAATACGGTATACGGCAGCACTTTGATTACCGTATCAAAATATACGGCAATTGAGTAAAGTAGAGTTTTTCATGAGTTTTAGTAAACAAAAAATAAATATTTCGTCTAATGGAACGCAAAAACTTGTAAACCATAAATGAAGTATAGATGACCCACGCTGAACTGTCCCACCCACAGATATGGATTAGAGTAGATACAGCAAGTTGATCGTCAAAGCGTGCCATTCCGATATGTCCAAATGGACATACATGGTCAAGTGATGTTCATGTAATCCGATTACAACAATCGGTTACGATGATTTTACGAGGACAGTAGTACGAACACGGTAGAAAGATGAAAATAATTACGTATTGAGAATTGTAAATAACAGCACAAGTAACAAATAATTAATTAGAATAAAGTAGCAGTAGAAGAAGTATAAAGTAGCATTGTTTTTAATACATCCTGCGATGTACTCTTAAGAGTTAAAACCATGGTCCCTGTATGTGGTGCACTCATACCGACCCCAAGCAACCGTACTAAACTTACTCATCATAACATCATTAAGACACACACTGATCCATGTATTCATGCACTTGACAAATGTTCGTCTTGAAACGCTGGTAGGGTAAAAAAAATAACGAGATTTGACGATTTGTAAGATGTAATTTATTTAAAAAGGTAAATTTAAAGATGTTTTTGGTTTTGTTTTAACAAATTATTAGTTTTATCGGAATTAATTAATTGTCAAATCGAATAACACGATATCATTCGATGACTTTGCGAATGCAGTACGATGATACGATTATTTTTACGTTGCGGCAATCACTAAAAATCGCTAAAATGACACTAATGACGTTTAAAAAGTGGCACGCTCGGCTTCATACAAATTTTTTTACATGCTGCATCTATCCATATCTGTGGTCCCACCAAACTCAATGACAGGGGGGCGCTACCATCGTTCAACTGTATGGTTTCCAACATGGCAAAAATCGGAACCAGCGATCCGGTATAGACGGTGGCGCCCCGCTGTCAATGTCATGCACAGCACAGTTCAGTATTTTGGAACTATAGAATCGCCACGAAAAGAAACGCCAAAAATGCAACCATATCTCCGAGATTTTAATGTCTAAAATCGTTATTTCCTCATTTTGGTAGATTCTTCACTTTTATTCGGGTAGGTTCTTGGACTAAATTATTCAAAACCTTAAAAAGTGAAGAATAAAATAAGTAAGTTTAAAAGTAGTATACGCATAGTACATAATACATCACTTGTATTTTTTTAAATTTAAACCTTCCAAATAAACATTTTATACAATACGGCAATTTTCTTAGTTTTCCTTAAAAATCCGGCAATTTTAGAATTAGAATACGGCAACCCTAAATTCGTCAGGAACAACAACACATATAATATACTCTATGAACAACACTGTTTCCTATGGTAGTTTCTTACTGATGAGTGATGATCCTGTTTTTACAAATTTTAATTAATTTCTAACTTTATATTAGTACAAAATGTTATCACAAGAAGAAACTATCAAGAGGACCTTGAAAATGTCATTACAAGTGATACGAAATTACGACTGGCTCTTAGACTTATATGTTTTGGTAAGAAAACAATCACAACTTTTATTATCCATTTTAAGTCCTCATGGATGGCTATAGAAGTACCTNGTTTGGTCGATGGCCGCGCGAAAAAAAAAAGACGCCAATTTCCCGCATTGTCTTTTGTATTCACTCAAAATCAATATTGCTAATAAGTTCTTTCTTCTATTACAGGACTTCTTTGTTGATCAACACTGGGAAAAGCTACCATTAACGTGGCGTGAAGCTTTCTACAATATGGATCCTCAAATTTTAGGCAATATAATAGATGGAAACTTTTCCAATACAGTTCTACCTTTGTCATTTTTAGCATTAATGAAGACAGTTCAGTGTTTGACTATTACAAGGCAGAGTTTAGACAAATGTGCAAAGAAAAAGTTAAGAGAACTTTCTGTTGATACATGCGGTGGCCATCCAAGGCTTGCAAATCTATTTCTGAAGCATGTAAAGTTAAAAAAGAGGCATGAAATTAGTTTAATGGCAGAAGTTGTTTATCATACAGCCAGTCAAACTAACTGTAATGGTGTCCTCGATTTTGGTTCTGGTTTGGGGCACCTAGTGAGAGTTTTGGGGTATAAGTACAATCTGTATGCGGCAGGGATAGAGAGCCAGACACAACTGACGGAAGAAGCTAGGTCTGTACTACTACCAAGGTTCTGTGGTATGTATAATAATTAACAATTTGTGAGATAATTTGTTACTACGGACTGTTCTATGTATCAATGACTCACAAACTCTGTTTGCAAAATGAAAAATACAGTTGTAATTTTTTGATTTTCAGAAAACTTGATTTAGAATTGGAATATACTGCAAGCAAACATTTATCTATCGAAAGTATGGATAACTTGAAGAGACCATCTCATTACAATATGACACTATCTTGCCACAGTCAGCTTTTGGAATTGAAATTACCGGGTTCTATGAATAATTATGGATTAGTAGGTCTGCATCCATGTGGGGACCTCGGTCCATTGCTGTTGAAGCACTTTATTAAGTGCCACAGTTCTAAGTTTATATGTCTTGTTGGCTGCTGCTTCATGAAACTAACATCAGAAGGATACCCTATGAGTGAATATGTCAAAGGGTTGGACAGTGGCCTGTCATACCCTAGCAGAGAGATAGCTTGTCATGCTATTGAGGTCTACTGTGACAGGTTGAAGAAAGGGGACTATGAGGATTTAAAGGTGATTTTTTAAACTTTATTGTGGGTCTAGCTAGACAAAGTGCACTTTAAAATAGTAACCCAGTCGAAAGATGATCGAAAAGCCCTTTTTTTGTATGGAGTTTTGACAAATTCGATTTTCGATTCAATCAAATAGTGCCACTTGTCTAGGGGGGCTGTACATTTTGTTGATTTTATATGTTTTGACAAATATTGTATGACATTATGATTTGTAGATACATGCCTTCAGAGCAGCCTTGGAGAGGATATTAGTAGGAATCAATCCTGCACTCAAGCATGCTCCAATTAGGAGCATAAAGCATTCAGACTCTTTGACATTTGAAAGGTATGGTTCGTTGCTAACTTATCCAGCAAAAATATTATTTGGATTGTTTATGTTTGAAATTAAATTGCTTGCAAATTGTTAAATTAGTAAAGCAATGTGTTTTAGTGAATAACTTAAAAATTATATCTGATTTATGGTGTTTATTTTATCCAATGTACCCAAGAGTAACTGACACCTTAGATTCTTTATAAACTTTGTGTGGTTTACTTCTAATCTACTCAACTGACTAGTGTCTTGGGCTAGCCTAGCATACTTGAGAATTTGTGTCTTGGTATTCATAAATCAATTATCGAATGACAGATACTGCAGCTTGGCGTTTGAAAGGCTCCAGTTGCCCCTTCCTTGTCACGAGGCGGTTTGGGCGCGCGCGCGTTACGATTTGATCCAATGGCGGCGCGTGGTCATCGTGTACACGCTGCGACTTGCGCTTGCGCCGCTCGTCGAAACTGTCATCTTGTTGGACCGGATGCTGTACGTTTTGGAACAAGGTATTTATCCAATCTTCTATTGTTTAAGCTGTATTTGGGCAAGACCAAAAACCCCAATTGATTTTTAATTTGGAGTAAAGTGATCAGTTACAATATCTACAGGGTGTTAGGTAAATGGGTATATGAGCCGACACTAGCCCATGTTAACATAGTAATATAAATGGTATGGTGAAGTCAGAAAATTGATATCTTCATTTTAATTATTTTATTTTTCATACAAATCGGATTTTATAAAATTTATTTTTTATGAAAATTAAAAAATTGATATGATGATATCAAATATCTGACTTCACCATACCATTTATATGCCCATGTTAACATGGGCTAGTGTCGGCTCATATACCCATTTACCTAACACCCTGTATAGGAGTCACATTTTGAAAAGCTCATAAAAAGCATGTCAATTGACTGGTGTTTGCAACTCCTTGCCTTGCCTTTAGGACTTAGTGTCCATAGTTTTTTAAGGTTTATAAAAATGCTGAGCTCATTGGAGAAACATTTAATAAAGGACAAAAATAAACACATCTATACACATTCAATAATGTACTATACATTTTTACAGACAATAAGACAAACATTGATTGATATTTAACATGAACATGACATCTTCCTAGGCCACACTTCTATCTATACACACCCTATGAAGGAAATCAATCGAAATCATTAAAATAATATTTCTCTTGATTGATTTCCTCCAAATTATTCTTAACTTGACTAGACATTTATTTGGCACTGTTATTTTTAAAATAAATAATACTTATCATGTCATAATTTTTATGAATTGAGTTGAAACATTATTAACTGATAAAGTCTAAAAGAATGGGCAGCAGCGCTCTCTGAAAAACATCAATCTTTTAAACTGCAATCTCCAACCCGCCTGCCTAGCGTGGAGATTATGGCAAAACCCTCCACTATAGTGGAGGAGGCTCATAGTCCAGCAGTGGACTGTAAAGGGCTGTTGATGATGATGATGAAAGTCTAAAAGGCTCTTCTTACGTAAATACCGGATGAATTACTGGGTAGTTAAATTATTATGGGAATTTTTAACAATTTTAGGTTCTTTATACTTACAATGACATGTGCAATTAGTTAAGAATGTGCGTTCTTTATATCGAATATTAAAGTATTATTACGTTGTTTACAGGTCTATCGTGCGAAATTCGGCCTGTGTTCGATCCTAAGATATCTCCCAGAAACCACATAATGATTGCGAGAAGAACATGAGAGATTTTTGTTATGTTATAATACAATACTCGTATGTTATTATTTTAAAATATATCTACAATCGTTTTCATTAAAGACCGTGTTTGTATTTAGAATACCTCATCATGTAAGTAAATAAAGAAATAACAAAGTATGTATACAATTAACAACAAAATAATATAACAATACAGATCACTAACTACCTAACTACATTTCATATAAATACATACATAAATCGTCCAACAAAAACAAATTTACAAAAATATTTCAGACCTAGATTTATTAGGATAGCTTAGTAACTATATTTACACAGGTACCTATGTAAATAATGCCTTGTTCATCAAGTGTTGTGATTGTTAGTAGCTAACTACTTTCAGTGGTTGTTTCAAAATGCAAATGTCATGAAATTATTTATAGCAATGTCCAAATCACAAAATGCGTCGAAGCTTAGCTGATCACCACACACGAAGCATTAGCAAATGCTTTATCTTATAACTGTCTCAGTTTTCATAAATGTTACATTTTGTTTCAATCTTTTGTGACTAGAAAATTACCTTTTTTTGTGACAAGTAGTTACAAAAAAACGTTTTACTACTAAAAGTTTGCATCTGATGGATGTGATTAATGTTGCTTACATTAGGCGCTCGTACATAATATCATCTTCATTGTCACGGGTAGTGTCTTCTGCAATGAGGCTTGTATCTGTTAATGCCTGCATTGTTTTCAAACTGTAAATCGCTAGTAACACGATCACTTGGTCGTCGGCGCAGTGTCTACTGCGATTGAGAATTAATAGCGCGCAATGACGCAGTCGCCTGTGGCTGTAGGGTCTTGGGAGTACTTGAGGATCTGTAGTAATGTCACAGTATATATATGTGGTGTTTTAGCGCTAGTAGCGCGGTCTTGCGTTCGCGGGCGGTGTTGCGCAATCACGCAGTCGCCAGTGGGATCTTGCTTGGGTAATAAGTACTTGAGGCCTGTATTTTAACTGTACTGTACTGGCTGCAGTGTTTAGCGCTAGATCACGCGGTCGGAGGCTGTGCCTACTGCTAACGCAACGTCGCAGTCTCCAGTCGCGTCAGAAGTTGATGTCTGTATCAGGAACTGTAGTGGATGCAAAGTGAGTTCATGCTAGTAGCGCGATCACGCGGAGCTTGGTCACCAATCGCGTCTTTGGGCAAAAGTTGACTAGTTGACGCCTGTATCATTCAGTAGTGGCTGCAAAGTTCGTGCTAGTAGCGCGATCACGCGGTCGGGGGCAGTGTCTGCTGCGATTGAGCTCAACAATGCAACGAAGCAGTTGCCAGTCGCATCAGAAGTTGATGTCTGTATCAGAAACTGTAGTGGCTGCAAAGTTCGCGCTAATAGCGCGATCATGCTGTCACGTCACGTCTTGAGCAGTAGTTGACTAGTTGACGCCTGTATCATACTGAAGTGGCTGCAAAGTTCACGCTAGTAGCACGATCACGCGGTGGCGGGCAGTGTCTGCTGCGATTGAGCGACAATAGCGCAATGACGCAGGTTTTGGGCAGTATTTTAGGGACTGTTGTGGCTGTCTGTAGTGTTTAAGAGCGCTAGTTAGCGCTATCACGCTGTCGCCAGTCAAGTCTTGAGCAGTAGTTGACTAGTTGACGCCTATACTGTAGTGGCTGCAAAGTTCACGCTAGTAGCGCGATCACGCGGTGGCGGGCGGGGTGTGTGGCGCGGGCCGCTGGTGAGGCAGCATGGGCGCGGGCTCGTCGTCGGAGTCGTCGGAGTGCACGCGCGTGAAGCGCCGGCGCTCCAGCAAGCGGCGCAGCTTGAACTCCCCACGACCGTACTCCCAGCGCCGTCGCGGCATGCTTTTGCGACCTACGGTACAAGATACTGCGGTGTAAAGGACGTCGCACTTTATCAACCCGGAAAGGGATCGTAACCGTATCAACTCGAGGCGGTCAGTATTCTTTGTACGAAGCTCCATACTACAACGCACACTTTGCACCGAACCGACAGCGCGCGAAAGGCGATACGGTGTTGATCCCTTTACGAGTTGATAAGTCTGCTATGAGCTTTACTCCGAAAAACATCCGATGTTTCAAATTTTGCCATCCCTCTCACGCAATGCGAGATGCCGGTATGAGTGACGGTGACAGATAGTAGACCCGAAGCAACGTTTCGTTTCGGAATAGCGCCCGGAATTGAGAGCCTGATGAAATTTTGTGAGCAATTACACTTGTGAGAGCTTAGTGCGAGTATAATTTAATAACGCGAGTTTTCACATTGATAGCTTACGGTAGGTACGGGACGGGAGTCGGGATGTACGATGACGGTTTGTAAATAAGCAAAGAACTTCATCATATCATTATCGTCAAGTCACTCAGTCTCCACTGCAGGAGCAAGATGAAGAAAACAATGGATTTGGGCCCACACTCCCCAGGCTGGCCAAATATCAGAATATAGGCGAAGCTGCACGAAGGCTAATAACTTGATTGTAATTGAAAATTGATAAAATACTTTTATGATCAAAATTCTGAACAGAATTTGATTACAAATTAGCACTTCATGAAGTAATTAGACTTTTGAAAGTCTACCTATAGAACACAAGCTAAATAACCATTCGACATGCATAAATAGCTACTTGCTACTCAATTTAAATGTGCTATAAATTGGAAGGTGCCAAATCTTACCGAATGGGGTGCATGCGGGTGCAACAAAATAAAAAGACAAGAAGCTGCTCCAATAAATATATTTGTATAAAATATATTCTTAACTCGCATCACTAAGTCTAAGTACTTAATCACAGTAAAGCACAACAAAAATAAATAATGGATCACATAAAATAAGATTTACGGGCAAAATAATAATTCAAGACTTGGGATCTATCAGAGTGGCGTTTTTGTTTTTGTCAGTGCTTTAAGTAGATTAATTTGTTTAGTTAAGTGTTTTGCGTCTTACAAGACACGTTATGGAATTCGTGTATTAAAAACGCTAATCTGAGAGATCCTTTTAAATCTACTCTTAGATATTGTGCTACATAGGCATTCTGTCTGACGATAAGATAAAATTTGCTCAGTGCATATGCATCATGACATTTTTAAATTAAGCTTACTGCGCACATGACAAATAATAACCAACCAAAAATATGAAAAGTATTTGAGATGTCAGTAGATAAGGATACATTACATTAATTTACAATGGCTGTGTTTCATTTTTACCTAAAAAGCATATAAATTAACTTAATTTACCTTCATAAATAAAAAAAGTAGGAAAATTTTCGATTTTGTATTGCAATGCGAAAATTGCATGGAAAGTAATCACAAAGTATTTCAGATCCAAAGTAGAGATTATTTTGGAATGGAGAGTGAAGTAAATAGGAATATATTAATTTTCTTGTATTGTGCATATTTTCGGTTCTTTCACTAATTTTGATTTATCATATTATATAAATTAATAAATGCATTACATTACACAAGTAATAATAAATATTAGATATGCTATAATAAAATTCATAGTCCTCATTATTTACTAAAACCAACTTAAAATATAATTGTAAAAATAATATTGCAAACAAAAATATTGCGGCATGAGATTTTCGGGGCTACTTAACGGAGTTTCTCTCTACAATCTATCCCTGTCTATTACATAAAGCGAAATGCATGGGCGATAGAGACAGATATAGGGAAACAGCATTAAGTAGAAACCCAGATGAGATACTTATTGTAGATTCCAAAAAACAATGTGACATTAAAAATAATTATTATGATAAGATGAATAGAATTTAATCTCATTCGTTCGACCTTAATGATAATGTGATGTGATGATAAAATATACGAGCAAATCTGTACTTATAATAAATCTGTAGAGAGGTCAATTCTGTACATGAAATATATTTTCAAAATAACTATCAGGGGGTGATTAGTGATCGATACTGATGCTAAAAATGCAATCAGTAAAATGTTTGTCTGTCTGTCTGTCTGTATGTTCCTTATAGAAACAAAAGCTACTCAACGGATTTTAACGAAACTTGGCACAAATTATTCTTCATACTCCTGGGCAGGTTATAGTATACTTAGGAATTCTCACGGGAATTAGCGGGAAAATCCTTTTGTATGAAAAATCTAAACCGCTCAAGTTAGACGCTTGAAATTTGGCATGCAGGTACCTTAGTAAACTTAAAGCTTAGTTACAACAGGATATTGCAAAATTCGCACGGGAACGGGAGTTAGCGGGAAAAACATTTGTATGAAAAAATCTAAACCGCGTAAGATAGATGAAGAGGGTAAAACGGGATCCACGCGTACGAAGTCGCGGGCGGCCGCTAGTTAAACATAAAATAGTAAATATTTAGCCTAAACCGGTGAAAGGGTCGGACTGGCCGACTCGTCATCCGAGGAACGCGGGTTCGAACTCCGCTGACGCTCGACTATTGTGGTGAGACCACTCGTGGTGACACAAGCATATTTAGCTTAGTAAAAATACAAATATTATTTAGATAACATCTAGTCCTAAGAAAAAATATGTAAGTAGGTACTAGCTTTCCGCCCGCGGCTTCGCCCGCGTGGAATTTTGTCTGTCACAGAAAAACTTTATCGCGCGCGTCCCTGTTTCAAAAACCGGGATAAAAACTATCCTATGTTCTTTCCCGGGACTCAAACTATCTCTATGCCAAATATCATCAAAATCGGTTGCGAGGTTTAAGCGGGAAAGCGTAACAGACAGACAGACAGACAGACAGAGTTACTTTCGCATTTATAATATTAGTTGGGATGTAAACCTCTCTGCTTGTCACATTCACTTGTGTCTGTCTTGTTGGTTGTCCTAAATAAATAAAATAAACAAACCACTACAAAGTAAATTAAAATAAAATGTTAATTGTACAGTCGGTGTCAATGATCGGAATAACCTATTTGACTCGACCATAATGTCAAAATTAAAGTAGCAATATGTTATTATTGTACACTAAAGTAATCTTACTAACTTTGTACCTATTTTAAACAAATGAAATTCGATGTCATTTCAGATCAATGATTATAAAGTTTGGGTAGCACAATAGCCGGTAGTTGGGTTTATTCTCGTTGTCCCCAAAAAGATATGGGTTAGAACCAAAAATGGCAAGGCTATCTCGCCTTAAATTACATTACTAATTAATAAAAAAATATTATATTTTTTAAACCGATATTGGTTTGTCCCGCAGTGGTGGCAGAGCAAATTATATTTGTACGAAGGTTAACGGGACTAGTAATTTGTGCAATACTAAATTACTAATATTGAAAAAAAAAAACAGGCTTTAAGTTTAGGCGAATGTGTCATCCTTAGATAGTGCAGTGTTAGCAGCGCCTGCTTGTCGCAGCGCTACGCCCACGCGCTTATAATAGCGATAAGGGTCGAAGAAGAACTTGTGGATGATGAACTTGGTGAAATACAAATTACTAATATTCTT